GAGGCATACTAGGTCCGAATGGCTGGCAAAGGTCACGAACAGGCAGCCAACTATCAGGTCAAATTCGGCCGTCATTATGGCAGCAAGGAAGGACGAGCGAGAATGTGGGTAGATTAATACAGTACTGTTTCGGGTTTATTTTCTCCTCCCTAAGCCAATCATAACCCTGACCAGCAGCTGGAACCAGAAACACAAACATGCGTACAGACGCACCTGGCGCAGTTGGTCCACCACCGGGGTGTATCAGATGAGTCCTAAGCACTTCATCGAACCGAGGTTCATCAATGTCTCGTCACCTGTCCTTTTCTGTTCTTGTAGATAAGGTAATTATTCGAATAGGAATGGGCCCACACCGACCTGTTAGCTTCACAAGGCTACCAAACTCTGTATGGTTGATAGAGGCCGCGAACAGGCAACCACCTAAAAAGCTGAAGTCGGCTAAGCTTGGGCAGGTTTATAATTGGCTTAGGGAAGACAAAATAAGCCCGAAACATCTGCCCACATTCTCTGTCGTTCGTGACAGTGACAGGGATCGCTAACCCGGCGTCATTACTGGCGTGGCAACAACCGTTCACACAGTTACTGACAGGTGTGAACGGGACAGGAAGGCGAGATACGTGGAAGGCGGACAACGGCCAATGCAGACAAAAGTAATGGCCGCGGCACCGAATGAGGATTGATTTTGTAGCACGTTTGAAATTTTAATTGTTTTCAGCACATTTACCCGAGTCTGACGACGACACGGGGAACCGACGTCGAAAATTTACTCAATAAAGTTTTCTCTCTTTCCCAAAGAACGTATTTGATTTCAAATTATATTTCTTGGGATGCCCGCGTTCCAATTCATTCATATATACATATATATGTATTTGAACGCAGGCATCCCAAGAAATATAATTTGAAGGCAAATACATGCTTTGGGAAAAGGAAGAAAATTCATGGAATAAATTTCCGACGTCGGTTCCCCGTGTCATCGTCATACTCGAGTAAATGTGCAAAAAACAAGTAACGTTTGAAACGTGCTGAGGAATCAATATTCCTTTGGTGCTTCAGCCAGCGAGCGGCCGCCGTGTGCGTCAGTCTGTATTGATCGGTTTTCGTCTCTTCCACTTTCCCTGAGATTTCTATACGTGGCATCTAACTCGATTAGCCTATTGGTGTATGACTCATCGGAGTGCATGGCTTCAAGAAAATTCCACCCTTTTTAAATGGGCAAGCTCCGACGATGCGAGTTCCGTCCAGGTAAAAGTGTGCCCAGTATCAAGTGTGCATGATCATTTGAGACAGGGAGATATGGATCCCAAGAAATATAAGCTGAAGCCAAAGACGTCCATTGGGAAAGAAGAACTTTATTGCGTAACTTTTCGACGCCGGTTCCCCAAGTTGTCGTCAGACACAGACCGAGAGTAAATATGCAGACAAACAGCTAACATTTGAAGCGCACTTGAAAAATCTATAATCGTTCACGTTTGCGTTCGTGAGCGGCCGCTATCTACGTCATTCTGTCTTGACTGGCTCTCGTCTCTTCTATTTCTGTTTGAGACTTTTGTACGCAGCGTCCAACTCAATATGTCGGTTGAAGCACGATTTATCCGAGTGTATGGCCTCAAGGAACTCTTGGTCTTTCTTGAAAGGGCAGACACCGACAATCTGTGTTCTGTCCCAAGTAAACATGTACCTCGCATCCAGGGTAGCATGGCTACTTGAGACAGGTGGTCTCGCCTCTCTACTCTAATTGGGTGCTCGTGCATGCGTGTAGAGGCGGATTTTTCTGTTTCTCCACAATGAATTGCATCACAGACCTCGCGACCCTATCCTTAGGGTGTACTACCAGAGAACGTTGTGTTGTCGTTGGTCTGTGTGCCACCAGAATTTAGTGACCTTATGAGTGCCTTTCGAGGAGTTCAGACACGTTTTTGATGTAAGGGAAGGTTTGCCGACTATTAAGCTTGGGTACCTAACTGAGAGTACTTCGGTCCGTTTCTTTTGACTCTGTCTATCTCATGCATCGGTGCACAATCAAGGCTTGTTGACCGCCTCGAACCTGGTCGGATGCGGCTTGCCATAAGACAGACTGGGATCTTTTCATAATTTCTGCATTTTCTCATATTTATAGAAGTTCTGGGCTGTTGGAACCGTGGTGGCGCTTTTTAGGAATTATGTGATATTAACATGTTCAAGCAAATAAATATTACCGTTGTGTCTTAAAAATTTCAACTTTTCATACATCATTTGGCCCTACTGGGGCTTTTAAACATGTTTGACCCACCGGACACAATTCACTTCGGTAGTAAAACAAGCAGCCACGCCTTGGCCTGGTTTATTTCCCGTTCCTAATCGAACCCTTGTAGTTTAGGTGCTCTGGTCCTTAGCCTAAGTGTAGCATCCTCGATAGGACATAAGTCAGTTTAAGTCAGTTCTCCCGTGTATTCTAATGCCAGTTAGCTTAAACGCGAGCCGTAGGCCGAAAGTATTTCTCATCTTTCGTACATAAGCCCAGGTACGTAACGCACGGGCTCTAAACTGCCATCGTTTTAAATGACGGGAACATGTAACGTGCGCGCTGGTTAAGAATCTCTTGGGAGGTCTGGCTTCGGACAATGGGTACGAGGACATTAAAGTGTGTCGTCGTTGGCGATGGTGCCGTGGGGAAGACATGCCTGTTAATATCGTATACGACTAACAGATTTCCATCGGAGTATGTGCCAACGGTAAAATAAGGTTCCTAAAATGACGGATATTAGGTATTTGACAATTATGCCGTTACTGTAATGGTTGGCGGTGATCCCATGGTTCTGGCTCTTTTTGACACGGCTGGGCAGGAGGACTATGATAGACTACGGCCGCTCAGCTACCCACAAACGGATATATTTTTAATTTGCTTTTCCGTGGTCAACCCTGCCTCTTTTGAAAACGCCCGGGAAAAGGTACTTCGTAATTGTTACAACTGCCGCTGTGAGATTTGCTATTGGTTGTTGTCAGCCTTTTTCGATTCTTTAAAAATTTTGAGGGCCCCGAAAGTCAACTCCCCGCTTATAGATGTTATTGCTTTCATGTATTGACGCAGTCACGCTTTTTTTCCAGCTCTGTGTTCTCGGGCGTTCATTTTGCCTGTAGGCTGTTTTTCCTCTCTTACTTTCCAGGAATGCATCGGCTATGATGCGTTTCTGCATGGATTATTTGTGCAAGCGTTCATAAACTAATCGACTTATAAATTGGCTACTTTGTGCAGTTGAGTTTAGTCATTCATTTCAGACCAAAGCGGGGCAAATATATAGCGTAGGGGTATTACACCGTCACGACTTCTCAGTGTCTTTCAACAGATGTGTTTCTGACGCTCTTTTTAGTGGTATGGAGAACTTCAGCATCATTGCCCGAACGTCCCGTTCCTCTTGGTTGGCACTCAAAGTGATTTACGCGACGACCCGGACACTATCGAGAAGCTGGCGAAAAACAAGCAAAAACCACTTACACCCCAACAAGGGGAAAAACTCGCTCGGGAAATCGGGGCCTGTAAATATCTGGAGTGCTCAGCATTAACTCAGGTAATTGTCTACTTGCTAAACCGGGCGATCCTGCCACCTAGTGAGTAATGTTTGTTATGATAAGGATGGTCTACCGTCAGAATACCAGCATGAACCTCTTTTCGAGCTTTTTATGACCGATTAGGCTCTTAACCACCCACTTTGTAGATCATTTAGTTTTTTTCCCATGAGATATCTTGCTTTTTCCAAATTAAAATTGTAAATTAACAACTGATGGTGTGTCAGCTGTCGGTATTAGCTCGTTCGTATGTTAGCCATTTCCAGATACTATTGGTCGGTTCTCCAATTAACGGAACCTTGTTTAGCTACTGTTGTCATCGTCCATCAGGCGTTCATCTTTCTAGAGCATTTTACTGGACCATTTCCTCCTTTTAACAATGGACTACTTCCGCATGATTGCAAAAGGCATGGGAGGATCAAGAGGGGGTGCTAAAGTTGGCATACTGGCTCAGTTCAATCAACATATTTGTCTGTAACCCTGCCTTGTAGTACGCTACCATCTGAAGTGTAGTAGAAATACAAATGTACCTAGCGGTAATCATCTCTACTTACAAATGCAAAGGCACGGTCAAAATGCTGCTTGACTAGGTCTGGACGTTTGTGCAAATAAGGCTAAATCATTGTAAGCACAGAATGCATACCGAACGATTACTCGCACAACTAATTAAGAGGCCGTCAAGGGTTTAAAACTTAAGACGGTAATCCCTGTTTACGGCACCATACTCACCTAACGTAATATGCGGCTGCGGTTCGTTGACTGCCCATTGCCGACCTGCTATCGCCTGTCGAGCTGTATATATCACATCATCAGTCAAGAAGTTGGTCGGACGTGTGCCTGGTAAATGCTGGTGACAAAGAGACGTACTCCCCCACTCACACTCCTTGATTCCTTCTCTTCTAGTAGAATCGTACAAGGTAGCTTCTGTAGGCTGTAACCATGCAGTACGACCGACCTCAGTTGATTCGAATGTGCAAAACCATGCAGAGGCGAACTCCAGGAAACAGACGCGATCGAACTATTGGTAACCTTCGCGGTATACGTGGTTTCGACAAACGAAATAAAAATTTACTGGCAAAAACTGCAAAATCTTGTACTACGGTAGCTCTTAAGCAGCGACTCACACTTCTTGCTGAACGACGTCGCGCCACTCTGCAGATGCGTTTTTTTCCGAAACCAAAGTTAGAAGAACGCGGAAGCGGTCAGTGTCTGCAGCTTCGTTGTCTCTCGTTGGGCCTGACTGATTCGACAGATGATCAATTTCCAACTTAGTTCAGCCTTCTGGAAGCACGCTTACCTTCGGCGTATTCAGAATGTCACAGAGTTTAGTTCTGGGATTTGCTGCCGTTGTCGTGCAAAATGCTAGTTGAGTGACTTAGATCGTCGACAGTAGGACTTTCTTGCCTGGTGTTTCGCGTTCACCCTCAAACCCACCATGAACAACAGTAACAGATAAGTGTGGCACACGCTCATGCTGTGAATACCTACAGAGTGTATTTGTTCTGCAAATACGTCTCAAAATTAGCAGCCTCTGTATTATCTGCGCATGTTCGTAGTCGTGCGATGATCACTTAATCACGCCCGTCAGTATTATTAACTGCGACTTCATCGCCGGCGTCAATAACAGCCATTTGACATTATGACTCACCATTGCTTTCGCTGTCCGCAGTGTTCATCCGCGCTCTCACCACATGGCTATTTTGCCCTGACAACGTTTTGGCACTTAACCGGAGGAAGCTTATTGCGTTTCTTCATGGACTGCAGTTTTGAGTACCACAACTCAAGCAGCCCATGGCTTACGCAACTATCTTGTGCGAATTTCGACCGCTTAACACACAGATATGATCGGGTCATGTCGAATGAGCCGTAACTCAGGAGTTGGCGTCATTCCCCACCACCGGTGCGTGTTCGGACAGCTGAAACGTCCGTCGAGTACTTCCTGTTTCCACTATTAGGTCTCCTGAACTGCTTCATGGAACTCGTCTTTCCACATTTAGAGCTCGTGGTTTCACGACGAAAGTCCCTGAAGTTTAAGCAGCCCTGGCACCATTAGCGAGTGTGATCGTTTTACAAGAGGTCCATCTTTTATATGATGTCCGTTGTGACTTATCATTTGCAGACTACTCTGGAATGTTTCACTTAAGGCCAGTTTGTTTCTGCTGAAGACGTCTTAGAAGCGGCTGTACAGTGAGTTCTGGGATGCGTTTGAGGCAGCCCGAAGAAAACCCCTTGACGGCGATAGGCTCCCACATCTCAGGTTGTGACTTTAACCGAACGCCGTCTAGCTATAGACTAGCTCTAACAAGATCATGAGCAAAACCGTTTTCGCCGCTAGCACCGGCACCACGTATTGAACGGAAGTATACTACTGGGCCGTCTGTGCTTCTCGGATAGGTATGCACTTCTACTTGATACCGTTGTGATCATGGCTGATCTAGCCGGCCGCGGTATTTTTGTGAATTTTACCTCTACGCCTGACGGTCTGTGGAGACAGATCCTCAAAGTTTGGCCCAGCAATGGAAGCTAAATATCTTGGGTCACGGGACCAACAGACTGCACTGAGCCAAGTTTTGGTTTATTCAATTCGACGATTTCAGGTGGACGGCGGCGTCGAGTCAGGGACAGTAACAGTGAAATAATGGGACTGACGGCGAAGAGCGCGTTCCAAACGCCATAGTTGCCATTTTTAGATGTTCATAAGGACTGGCCGAAAGGATGCTCGATGCATGCAGATCTTCGCAGGGATTGAGGTGTCGCCGCAGATCCCGAGGCTCGCAATTCTTTTTAGAAGCCCTGTACAGCTGTCATCATTAGTAATGGCGTCAGTCGTTAAGCCAACGCGACAAGGACTGTGACACTGACAACAGGACTATGGAAACGCACATACGCAATCCTCGAACCGCAGGCACCTACCACACACAGATTCTTCCGACCATCTTGGACAATTGCCAAACCGTTTTGGCCAGCGCAGTTGTTGATGCTGTTGGGATATAGGTCAAAGCCGTCACCACCGGGCGCCTGGCTGCCTTGCGAGCCATGATGTAGTAATCGTCCACGGACCGTCAGGTGTTTGCATTTAGGCTCTCAGTTGCCGTTGTGAAGGTAGTTATCACCGGTGGTTTAAGATGGCGTCACGATATTCGCGGGGGAATTTTACAAGTTTCCAGAGCCTCAACTAGGCTGTTCAGTGAAAGCCAACGCTCAAGGCAGAGGCAGCAAGACCTCAGTTGATGTATTGTGATCGCCACGGCTCAGTACCGTTACGGTACCATGCTATCTTTAAGGGTAGTAGATCAGCCAGCCTCAACTGTCATTCTGCTAACGCTTTCGCCGCTTGTTCGCCAGACAAGTCTGCTTATTTCTTGGCCAGCTTCAACTAAAGGCTTCCTTACACTCGACCTGTGTATACGCCGAGTAATCAGCAGCTAATCTGGTAGGCAGACCCCGTCCTCGGTGACCTATACAAAGGACTAGGTTCGATTGCCCTTTGTGTCCACATCGGACGCCAGTTAGCGGTCACAAGAAGTCTGCTTTTCCTCCGCAAGACAGGTCAGAACGTCTGGTGCTGTTGTGGTCATTTAGCATGGCAGACGAGTTCTGGTGCAAGTCTGCCGCCGGTATACCTGCGAAAACTTTCGAACTTAGTGTATAGTGAAATTGCCATCGTCTTTCGGGACTTATAACTACATCCCATAAACCGATAACATAATCTAACCACTCCCAGACCTGTGTCCTTAACCATTATGCATTGTCAGATGAGACAACACAAACCAGGATCATGGCCTAAAAGCGATTTTTTGATCGGAATCTCTATGGGAAATGTCTTTTAACGCATCCTTCCTTTATTTATAGAAAGGCCTGAAGGACGTTTTTGACGAGGCAATACTGTCGGGTCTCCAACCCAACAACAAAAAACCAAAACCTCGTTGTGATGTCCTCTGAGGAGCCTTGGACAAATTTCACCTCTCCCACCACCGAATGCGATTGCTCCCCTTACCCTTAAGACGCGTACTGACCACTACTCATTTTTATTTTGTGTAATTTAAAGCTAACACAGGATGCCCACTCATTTGGGGGAAATCTCCAAGATGTGCGAGTCGTTGGTGGTGCGATTTCGCTTAGCCCTCTTAACTTTTGTTAACCTTGCAGCCGATGTCTTTCCTGCCCTCACAAACAGGCCTTTTCAATTCGCCCCACTTTGGACCTGTTCTATCTCCTGACCCTATTTCATAACAAATGACTTCTCTACTCGTCATGCGTGTGGGCATGTTTTCATAAGTGTTTGTATGCGAATGCGCCTGCGCACGCCTTCAGTCCCCTTTTGCCCGGGTCTTCGTACGTCAACATTTGTAGCGACAGATTGTGCCCCTTATCACACGTTTTTATCAAACGCAGTGTATCGCACCTCTGGAGCCATCATTGATACGGTGCTGCTCTTTTCCTCTCTTTCGCTTTTTCCGTTCACCTGCCTGTCGCCGCTTGCAGCCTTTGACTGTCCCCTGCCTTGGTGTTGATCACGAGATGTTATTTACGCAGCCTCAGTCCCATCCCTCTTCTGGTCCATCATGTCGCCCTGCATAGCTTGTCTTAGTGCACCGGTGCACGCAGACGCGCGCACACACGTGGCGTCTCGTGGTTTTAGTCTTGTGAGCACTATTGTTTCCCGGACCCGAGAGCTCGCTCTCAGCACTTACGATGAAAATTGCGAGAGTACTGTGTCTATTTTCTTCTACTGTCTTTTCGTCCTCGTATTCGCACCTCCCCCTACCTTTTGTTTCTGTGCTGCGGTGTTGCGTTGTGCGCACGGGCAGGATCTGTGCATGCGACAGGTGGCATTTCTCGAATGAAATTTTTTTGATTTATAAACGCGCAAGGGCAGGGGCCATTCCTAGTTATTATACTTACAGACCGAGAGCAGAGTAGCCCAGGATTTAAAAGGCCATAAATGTCAGTGAGGGCTGTCGTGAGGGGTTTACCCGGCAAAGAAAGTGTCCTTGACCAGGTGCGTTTTCCAAGTAGTGTTTTACCTGGATGTCTAACTGTCAGGTGATGACTTACAGACACTGGCCTACGTCTTCTGTCTAATTAAAAGGTTGCCTTAGTTTGAACTAGTTTTATCTTGTTCACGAGTTCTCCTCAGCAAGCTTGCGGTGTGCCCATGGACAACATTATCATATTTCTAAGTCCAGACCGTGATCCTGATCCAACAGCCCATACACGAGTAGAACCCATACTGTTGTGTCGCACCATCGTTTAGGTTACTATTAACGTTTTGGGCGCTTTGTTGTTTCCACATCGCGAGCAGTCGCAGCCAATCCTTCAGGGAGCACTGGTTTAGCGGGACTGCTCTTCTATTGTGCAGAATGATCAAATGGTAGGGGTTCTGTGGACATCCGGGTCTATCTATCTATCCGGATTGGCGTAGGCGGTGGGTGAGCGTTAACTATCCGTTTATCTCCTTGCTCTCAAAGAGTTCGTCGGTATTGAAGAGCCATCACGTCGTTTTTTTCATGGTTTGTTTTGACACAGTTCCAGTCCA